CTTGGGAGTGGGTTTGTTTGGGTGCCTGGTAAATGTATGTATACCTTTATAAGAAAATTGCTACACTGTTTCCAAAGTGGTTGTACCCTTTTGCATCCCACCAGTAGTCCATCTTGATTACCTCATCACTCCTTTGCTATTTCTTATTTAGGTATATGCAGCCTTTTCCACCAGATTCTGAAACTCTAGCAATTAGAAATATATTCTTTCCCCCTGTTTAAAAATTTTGCCTCATTCACAGCTACCCACATATACACTCTTCTCACCTGAATCCATTTCTGTAATCCTAATAGCAAACAATACCAAGAAGCAACCCAAAATGTCTTGAGTCTTTAACAGTGTCACCACTGGCTATGACATTATTGCCCAGATAACTTTTCACTTAAACTAAGTGAATGATTATATGCATTTCTTTACAGGGTACTTTTGGAGGAAATAAATGGCAGTGATTTATTTCAGTGCTAATAGGCGTTATACTGATTAGTTACGAGATTTGGGGCAAATTTCTTTACCTTTTTGAGTCTGTAACATGAGATTTCTTACAGATCTTTATTTTTCCCTGTCAGATCTGTATTTCTTTGGGAAGAAAAAAGGAATTGACATTTGACATTAAATGAGTAAGGAAATGGGACACGTATTTAGCACATACTTTTCATTCAACATCAGAGTAATTTAATAAGGTTAAGGCCTGATAATTTAAGCCCCTGTCCATTGGGGAAAAGTGGGAACTAAACAAAAATGTTACTGTAAGACTTAGGACTTTAGCTTCTCGTAGTTTGATCAGCTTAAATTTAAGACTTTTGAATTGCAGTGGATTGGGGCACTTGAAATAGACTTTATTTTTAAATTCATAAGAGGATCTGAGGATTGGAAGGAATCATAAAGTTGGTCTGAATCAACTATGTATGGGACTTTTGAATCACTGTACTAATATCCTGAGCGCTGATGATAGGTGTCCCAAGGCAGGACATTCCACCTTGAGGCAGCAGTGACTCAGAAAGTTGTTCTACTATGTGGAAGCTGGAGCCTCCACTCATTCACTCTAGTTCTGGCACTTGGGATGATGCAGAACTAGCATAAGTTTTCTCTGTGATTGCCTTAAAAGTATTTGAAGGTGGCACTGTTAACTCATTTCTTTCAAGATGCAGCCTTTTTTTTTTCATAGCAATATGATGAAACTGAGACTGGTTAACTTGGAGAATAGAAATCTCTGGGCAGAGGTGGGAGTACACACTTTTGATATTGTCTAAAATTTAATGGTTAAATTCAGCTAAGATAATACACTTTGTCTCTTCAATATAAATAACAGGCAGATGAGAATAGAGGTGGCATCTAATGTGGTACAAAAAGCACCAAACCATGCCAGCTTTAACAATTAAATTGGTTCTGATTTCATGACTTCTTCATTAATTCTAAGCAGAATTTGAAGTGCATTTTAGTAGTGATACCCAGATGAATGCTAATCGAATGATTATATTACAATGTCTTTTTGGTTGACAATAAAATGGCTTAATATTTAAGGTACATTGTGGACTACAGTTGAATGAATAATGTTGAAACCCACTAAATTTCCTTTGTGCCCATGCCAAATTATACTAGGTTAGTTAGAGTGCTATTTTGGCTACTATGTTTTCTTTGTGATCAGTAATTATGTTTTTGATTCTTAGTGTTGAGATATTATACTTTTGAGAGTTATTTTCTGAAGAGAAAGATTGTAGCCATGATTTTCAAATTTAAGGTATTGAAAAGGTCTTGCTTTTTGTGTTAATCATTCTTGCTACCAATTATTAATATGCAGTGAATTACTTTGTTTTAAACTTAAAATTAACTGCACATTTTTAAAGTGTTCAGTTTTATAAATTTTGGCATATATATATGTCTGTGAAAAATATGTCACCCCCAAAAGTTTGTTTTCATCCATTTGTAGGCCTTCCCTCTTACTCACCCACCCGTATTCCCAGGTAATCAGCTGAACTGCTTTGTATCACTACAAAGCAGAATTTTATATAAATGAACTCTACAGTATATACTATTGTTGTGGCTTCTTAGCATAATTATTTTGAGATTCATCCATGTTGATGAATATATAGTAGTTCATTATTTTTTATTGCAAGTAGTAATACATTGAATGGCTGTACCACACTTTGTTTATCCATTTACCTGTTGATGGACAGTTGGGTTGTTTTGAGTTTTTGGCTATTACAAATAAAGCTGCTAGAAACCATCTTTTGTGGACCTACACTTTCATTTCTCTTAGGTAAATACCTAAGAACGGCATGGCTGGGTTGTATGGTAAGTGTGTGTTTGATTTTTCAAGAAACTCCCACACTCTATTCTCAAGTGGTTTTACCATTTCACGTTCTCACCAAACAGCATATTAGAATTCCAATTGCTCCGTATCTTTGCCAACACTTGCATTTTCTTAATGAATAATGATGGGCATATTTTCATGTGCTTATTTGCTATGTATATATCATTAGTGAAGACTGTTCACATCATTTGTCCCTTCTTAAAATTGGGTTTTCTTATTACTGAATTTTGAGCATTCTTTCTGTATTCTGAATACAAGTCCATTTTCAGATAACACGATTTGCATATATTTTCTTCCAGTATGTGATTTGTCTTTCATTCTGTTAACAGTTTTGCAAGTAGCAGAAATTAGTAATTTTGATGAAGTCCTATTTATTACTTTTGTCTTTTATGTGTCATGCTTTTGTGTTGTATCTAAGAAGTCTTTGCCTAAACCAAGGCCACAAAAATTTTCCCCTATGTTTTCTTCATGAAGTTTTATAGTTTTAGGTTTTACCTTTAGGTCTATGATCCATTTTGAGTTAATTTTTTTATATGGTATGAGGTATGGATATCCAGTCATTCCAACTCTGTCAAAAAGGCTATCCTTTCCCCCACTGAATTGCTTTTGCACCTTTGAGGAAAATCAATTGACCATATATGTGTAGGTCTATTTCTGGATTCTCAATTTTGTTTTATTGATCTATTTGTCTCTTCACGCTGGTACCACACTGTCTTGATTTTTGTAGTTTTATAACAAATCTTGAAGTCAGGTATATAATGCTTCCAGTATTATTGTTTTTTAAAGTTGTTTTGGCTGTTCTAACTCATTTGCATTTCTATATGAATTTTAGAATCAGCTTGTCAATTACTACAAAAACTGCTGGGATTTTGATTAGAAATTCATGAATCTTTTGCTCAAATTGAGAATAATTGACATCTTAACATCATTGAATCCATCGATTTATGAACATAGTGTATCTCTCCATTTATTTGTCTTCTGTGCACATCATTTGATAATTTATTCCTAATTATTTCATATTTTCTGATGACACTAAATAAAGTTATTTCTTAAAATTTCAGTTTCTGATTGTTCTTTGAACAGTTGTTCTATGGAAACAGAATTAATTTTTGAGTATTGATCTTGTATCCTGCAACCTTCCTAAAGTCACTTATTAGTTCTAGTCTATTTTCTTTTTTTTTTTTTTAATTTTATTTATTTATTTATTTTTTCCCCCAAAGCCCCAGTAGATAGTTGTATGTCATAGTTACACGTCCTTCTAGTTGCTGTATGTGGGACGCAGCCTCAGCATGGCCAGAGAAGCGGTACGTCGGTGCGCACCCAGGATCTGAACCTGGGCCGCCAGCAGCGGAGCGCGTGCACTTAACCGCTAAGCCACGGGGCCGGTCCAGTTCTAGTCTATTTTCTTAAATTCATTTTCAGATTAAGCATGGTGTCCTAGTTCATTATCAGTTTTGATTTGAAGAAATGCGTAAACTTACAAAAATGTAATGAATCAATGCCTTGCAAGGAATGATATCTGGCATCCTCATTATTTTGTCTTTACTTTTAAGGAAATAATATTCCTTATAATATGTACCTTGAAATTTCAAGCTACCGTTATTTAAATAGTTGAATTTGTAGGCAATTTCAGGAAATTAATTGATTCTGAGGGAGGAATTGCTGTTTGTTTTTATGGGATTCTAAGAATCTGTTAAAATTATATATTTTAGAGAATCAACTGCCTTGGTGATGGTTTGGGGAGGATGAGGGAGAGTATATGATAAGGACTTTGAGGTTGAGGCTTGAGCATTACCTACATGGATCACAGTGCGCTTTACTAAGAGGAAGACTGAGGAAGCAATGGATTTGACTTATCATTTCAGCTTGGACATGTTAGATTTTAGGCCTGTTTTTTGACTAAGTGCTTATTTGTTTATTTGGAGGCTTGTAAATGAAGAAATATATCTTAGGTTAAAAACGGGCTTAAGGTCACACAGCTAGTCATTTGCAGAATTAGAACTCAAACCTAGGACCCTCTGACTGCAAAGCCAATGTGGTTATTCCTGTGCTGTGTTGTATCCTCAAGGCAGAAAAACATGGTTGGCTTTGACAGTGATAAATGTGCCCTATGAGCTATGATAAATATATAGTAGATTTTGCAAGCTCAGATGCCAACAGGGTTCAGACAGATAACTGTGAGTCAGGTTATAATATAAGAGAGTGATGACATCTGTGGAGAACGGTAAAGCCCATGTCCCATCTGAAGTATTAGCTGCTAATCAGCTTGTTACCCTGTGGGAATGTGGGCCCAGTATTGCCAGATCTTCTGATTTTTTTTTCCCAGGAAGTCAGAAATCTTGATTTTTATGTTAAGTCTTCTGATTTATAATGTAGGCAGCTATCTTTTAGCATGCTGTGTAGGCCATCCTTGTGTGGGTCTACCAAACATACGTGTGTGTTGGATTCTGCCCAGTGGGCGACCTTTGGTTAGAGTTACACCTGGTACACTGTGGACACAACAATAAATTTATATGATGGGAAAAGGCTGGAAACTGTGTAATAAGTACATTACAACCTTTGAAATGCAGGTTGCTTAGTTTGAACATGGTACTTAGTGAATCTGGTGTTTAAGATCCGTTTTCATATGGATCAGTTAATTATAGATGGCGGGATGGGGAAATTGCTCCCTGCAGCTTTTTGCCTCCTAATTGCATGCTTTCATTTGCAGATAGGGCCAGTTGTGATTGTATGGATTTTTGAGTGAAACCTTGAACCCAAAGGAGAAGAAACCTTCAAGGAACAACTTCTGTTGACAGTGAGTCTGCAGTCATCTGTATACATAATATGGAATGTTCTCAGGCCAGAGATAGTTGAATGGGTGACTCTGTTGACAAGGTGTGGTGAGTCTGACTATCCCCACTGATAATTAACCTGAATCCTTTCCATAAAAAGACTACTCCTACATTTACTCACTGTTGAATAGTAAGTTAATTTTTGCATTACAGAGAATGGCAAAAGCGCAGTTGAAGAGAATTCTTTATTCCTAACAGCGTGTTTAATATGTGATTGCAGTTTGACTTTTTTCTTCAGTTGGGCACATCCCTTCCTTTGCCTATGTATTTTTCTCTTTTATTTCTTCCCCAGTCCAAACCAAACCATCCTCCAAGGCCTGTCTTCCTTGATATATTCAGCCAACACTAAGGTGATGGTCATGGTAGTTACCAGCATCCATTCTAATCTTGGTTATGGTAGGTCTCATTGCCTTTGGAAGTGATTGTTTTAGGAACGGGCTTGAGATCCAGTTTTGCCAATGGGAAATAAAAGGGAAGTCTGCAGGAGTCTTCTGGGAAAGATTTTCTTGCATTTGAGAAAGAAAAGAAATGGTCCCTCTTCTCCCTAGAGCTTGTTTTATTTGGATGTGACATCTGGAACTTCTGCAGCCTTCTTGATACTAGTCTGAAGGTGATGCCCTCACAGAAAGGAGGGTAGAGGCAAGAAAATTGCAGAGAAGTAAAACTGGAGCCCTGTTTACTCTGCCTAGAGCCACCCTAACTGAGGATTCCTTGTTATGTGAGATAATACATTTCCTTGTTCAAGCAGTTTTGCCGTTAGATTTTCTGGATACTTGCTGTAGAAATCATCTTGATTCATTTGATTTCTCCTCTTTCTGATTACCCACCGTCTTTAGTGTCTCACACATTTCTATTTGATTATGTTCTTTGCTGTCCAGTAATGTTTCTTTGTGTATGTTGCCTTAATAGCATGTTAGAAACTTTGTGAAGTCAAGGGCTACGTTTATATCCCTGCTGTGTCTAACGCTAGTACTATCTTCTTAAGCCATCAGTGCATATTTACTGATTGAATTATTTGAGCAGTAGAGTATTTGAAAAACCAATCCACAGAATTGAATAATTATAGAGATTTTCTTTTAATTCACATCGTTTTCTTTAACCACACTACTTGTCTCTAGGATTATGAATGAAGTTTGGCTTTTGACTTAAGATGACTGGTGTGTAACACATCTTCATGCAGTTAGTTGTACTCTAAAAAAATCTTGCTTAGATTTTGCCTTGTTTGTCTAATCTTATCATCAAAATCAACTCCTCTGCTATATATTTGAGTACGATGGGGATACGTTCTGAGAAATGTGTTGTTAGGCAATTTTGTTGTTGTGCGAACATCACAGAGTATACTGAAGGGGAACACAATTTGCCACCACAAAATGCGTCTCTTTAATATGGGAATTATTTTAGGTTGATTATCTTTAAGAAACAGAAGACTGAGAAAGTTTTCATCGTTAGCTTCCCCATAACTGCCTGAAAGTATTCAGATTAAAAAACCTGTCTCAGGAGTCAAGCTATCACCTTAGCTTAACATGAAATGGGGGGGGGGGGACGGGGGACGGACGGACCTAGACAAGCCTGTTTTTTGGGCTCCCTCTGTGTTCTTTTGTTTCTCTGTGGCCAAACAAACTCTTGTTTCCCAAACATTTGTTCCTTTTCACCTACCTGTGCATTACCTTCCTTCCTTTTGAAGTTCCTGACTCTCCCCACTCCCATCTTCTTTTGTCTTTAGCCAAGGATGGTATTTAAGGTGAGGGTTATTGGCCATTTTGGCGTGTTATTTGGTTTTCCCTGGGTTTCTCCCATGTATACATGTTCTTAAGTTTTTTGGATTTTTTTCTCCTATTAATCTGTCTCATGTCAATTTAATTCTTAGACCAGCCAGAAGGACCTAGAAGGGGAGAAAAAATTTCTTCCTCCCCTACAGTGCTTACACAAACTTAGATGGTGTAGCCTACTACACAGCTAGGCTATATGGTACTAATCTTATGGGACCACCACCATATACATGGTTTGTGATTGACCGAAATGTTGTTATGTGGTGCATGACCATGCATTCTGAATCCTTCAAAAAGTGATTTACATTCAGGGAAGAATTTACTTTTTTTTTTTCTTGATGTGTTGTGATTAAAATCTGGGGGAATAACTTTTTAAGAAGATAAAGTGTGATGTGCTTGACCCATCAGTTTTAATTCAGTAGTACCATTATTTAGTAATATAAGAAGTTTGTCACTAAGGTCCACTTTAGTGTGCTTTATTTCATATAATGAAGAGCTTGTAAGAATGGAACATGTGTTTTAACCTAAGGCAGTCATGGCAGGCATGTGATCAAAGCCACATCAATCAGAGTGATGTTAGGACATTTGCTGGGAATGCTGGGATAAAGGCACATATTTTTTTCTGTTGAATTTCAACCTGAAAATGTATAGTCATTAAACTCCTGTCAGCTATCTTCTGACCATAAAAGGAAAGCCATTTGAATAAGAAGCCAGTGCTGAAGGCGGAGAGCAGAGAAAAAGTACGCCCTGGTCACCTCAATTGAGCTGCTGGATTAAGTCTTCCCTGAGGATAGTATACCTCCAGACTTTCCAGTTACATGAACCAGTAAATTCCTTATTTAATCCAGGTGGCTTTGGATTTTATGTTACATGTGTATACAAACATCCTGATACATCCTTCTCATCACCCATTCTACTTATAATGATAACTCAAGGGACTTACTAAAACTTGAATTGTGAATTAGGCAAGTAGGTCTTTGATATAGGTGTGCGAGGTGGCAGATAAGGCAGTCCATTCATTGATTTATTCAAGAATTCAAGTTTTAAGTACAAGAGTTAAAGTGGTAAACAAATACATATTCCATGCCATTGCTAATAGAGCTTATTGTTAACTAGGAGAGGGTGACGTTATGTGAATAATCCTACTAATGAATAGGTTCTTATTAACTGAGGTTAGGATTCTAGGAGAAAAGGAGTATCCATCATCTATAGTGATTAGCTCCTTCGTGGAGACTCCTCCTGAACCCTTGGCATCACTGGAACTGTAAAACAAACAATTGTGGGGAACATGGAATCTGGCTGACTTTTAAAAAATAATGTTATTATTAATCATTTTTTCTTAAGGCATTAGAAAAGTATAGGACCACAATCCCTTATTCAGAATCTTGGGGCCAGATATGTTTTGGAATTTCAGAATTCTTTGGATTTTAGAAAAGTTAATATGGTATACATACTGTATATTTAATGTAATATCTCTTTTTACTTAAGGAAGGGACAGCTGGCTTTCTATTATTAATAACACAAATAATAATGCCTTACATTAGTTGAACTGCTAAATGCCAGACTGTATACTTTTCAACATTATCTTAACTAATAAATTATCTTCATTTTTACACTTGAGAAAATTTAGAAACATTAGGTGACTTGCTCAAGGTTCATGCAACTAGGAAATAGTAGAGTTAAGATTCTAACCCATATCTGTTTGACTCTGAGGTCTACGCCCTTAAGCACTGCTTTACTGCCTCTTCGTTGTGCTGTACTGCCTAAACTCATCTGTTTACTGTTAACATTAGGAATATTATTACTCTTTGTTAAGTTTAATCAACTAACAACTAAATTCACTTAGTATTTCTAATCTTAAAATTGATTCACTTAGCTTTTCTGGGAATGTAGTCCTTATGTTTAACTACACATAATTTTGCTTTCATTTCCAGATTTTGTATTTCATATTGGTTCGTTTACCAATTGACTAAAACTTCTAGAACATTGTAATTAAAATGAGCATCTTGTCTTGTTCATTAATTTAATGCATCTGATGTTTCGCTAAATGCTCACATTAATTGGATTATTTGTAGTGTTTCACCATTGAGCGTGAAGCCAGCCTTTTAGTATTTTTTATAAATAAAATGTAAAAGAGATCAATACTTCTGTTTTATTCAGAATTTTTAAAATTTCTATTTTGACATCTGTGTAGGTCAGATTTTAAAATGTTAGTTGTTGCTAGGTCATAATTGCTATAAACTAAAAATTCAATTATTTCTACCTACCTATACTGCACTTCAGTTTTAATCTCTGATAGCCTATAAACTTCTTACCTCTGATAAATTCATTTTTATGCATTTAAAAATATGTATATTATACTTTATAATTTGCTGACTTATAGTTACTTTATTTTGTGTATGTATTATTTTTTAAATGTTTATTTATGTGAGCCTAGCATGTAGTAGGAGCTCAATGAATATATATTAAGTTAATTTTTGTAATTATCTGATTAGTGAGGCATCTTGATAGCCTGTGTTTTGGCTAGTGATAGAAAAATATTATATCAATTTTAGAGATGGAAAAAACCCAGAAAATATATATTTAGTATTAATAGTTGTAGTTCCCTGGTTTCGTGGTTATGTGGCTGATTTCTGATCCTACCATTTTCTCATTCTGACTTGATAGCATCTTGCTGTAGGTACCAACCTACTAGAAGAAGCTGTCTGGTGTGTTTAGGTATATAACACACACACACACACACACACACACACAGACAGACCTGAGGAATAATTCATTCACCAAATGTAAAAGAATGAGGAAATGTACATATTACAGATAATTATTAAAATGCAGAGGTAGAATGGGATATTCATTCAAATATTGCCCCTGAATGGCTCTGAGTTTCTCCTATTCTAACTTGTAAATATGTATCAAGGAAGAGGTTGGGAGGTTTTCAGGGAATAGAATAATTGGCATTAGCTCTTCGATTGTGGCAGTATGATCCAAAATATCTGTCTTTATCTACTGCTAGAAAATATTTTTGAAAGTCTGATAATAGTTTTACAGTTTAAGGGAATGGAAACTGATATTAAATTTCCAGTTCTTTGGTTAATGGTCCAGGGTGGAAGTATCTGGAAATAATTGCCATCTGAGGGGCTATGCTGTGCTTATGTAAATAGAATTGGTGGCCTTAATATTGGGCCCACTCAGTAGCTAACCACAGTATAATCCTTACCACAGCAACTGCAACTTATTTTAGCTATTGCTGTATGTCCTCACTGTAAAGGCCATGATTTC